ATCCCCGGAAATGGTGAAAAAGACATGACGGATTGTAAATTTCAGAGAATAGGGGGGTACCTGAAGGGAAGAAAATGACCGATCAAGCTGATTCTCAGGACAGAACAGTACAGAACGGATCCTCCAAGAGAAACCACGGTTTGAAATGGTCGGGAGGGTACAAGAGGGTGTTCCTAGACAGAGACAGAACACAAACAGAATGACAGCAGCTGAGGGAGAGGACAAAAAAAAAACGAAAGGAGCTAGGAAAGGAGACAAGGATGCAACCAGCAGAGGTCAATCAGAGCAGGACAGAGCAGCAAGGGCAAGCACACATACAACTATCCTCTGAACCCCACAACCTATCACCCATCCCAACACAAACTACAATCCATACTCACAGCTTCCACCCAACACCCAGCTATAGAATCCCAAAGTTATGCTACCAGGTCTCCCACCCTCACAGGCCCCAAACCACAGTGTTGGAAAGGAAACTGAAGGTATGGTACACAAGCGCTGATGGAATAACAAAATAAGTGGGAGGAGTGGCATGGAAAGAGTCAAAGAGGCATCGCTGGACATCATAGCTCTCACAGAAACCAAGCTTACATGTATGATAACAGATGCCATCTTTCCAATGGGATACCAGATCCTGAGGAAAGACAGAGAGAAACAGGGGGGGTGGAGGAGTGGCACTGCTGATCAAAAACCGATGGAATTTTGAGGAGCTGGAGAGGAGGACAGCAGAGAAACAAGCGATTACATAGCGGGAACACTTCACTCTGGAGGTCCCAAGGTGGTAATTGCAGTGATGTGTAACCCACACAGAACAGCAGGAGGCTAAGGCAAGAGTATGACAGAGCAATAGAGTGATGGTTGACACACTGGCTAGAGTGGCCAGAAGAGCTCATGCATGCAGGGCAAAGCTCCTGATCATAGGTGACTTTAACCACAAGGAGATCGATTGGGAGAACTTGGAGACACATGGGGGCCAAGATACATGGAGGGCAAAGATGATGGAGGTGGTACTGGAAAAACTTCATGTACCAACACGTAAGGGACACTACAAGAGAGGAGAGGATGAACAAGCAAGACTGGGCCTGTGTTCACCTTGAGTAGTGCAGATATTGAGGACATCACATATGAAAGACCCTTGGGGCCAGTGATCACGTGGTTTTAAGCTTCAAATACACGTGGAGCTACAAGTGGAGGGGGAAGCAGGAAGGCCAGGACGATGTCCCATTGAACCCCTCCTGAACGGGGTTCAATGGGACAGAGAACTGGCAGGGGGAAGCCAGTTAATGAGATGATGGAATATGTAGCAACAATGTGCAAGGAGGCTGAGGAGAGGTTTGTACCTAAGGGTAACAGGAATAATGAAAAAGCCAGGATGAGCCCATGGTTCACCCAAAGGTGCAGGGAGGCAAAAACCAAGTGTGCTAGGGAATGGAAGAAATATAGAAGGCAAAGGACCCAGGAGAATAAGGAGAGCAGTCGTAGAGCCAGAAATGAAATATGCACAGATAAGAAGGGAGGCCCAACGGCAATATGAAAACGGCATAGCAGCGAAAGCCAAATCTGACCCGAAGCTGTTATACAGCCACATCAGGAGGAAAACAACAGTCAAGGACCAGGTAATCAGGCTAAGAAAGGAAGGAGGAGAGACAACAAGAAATGACCGTGAAGTATGTGAGGAACTCAACAAGAGATTCAAAGAAGTGTTCACAGAGAAGACAGAAGGGGCTCCAGAAAGACGGAGAGGTGGGGCACACCACCAAGTGCGGGACACAGTACACACAACGAGGAAGAAGTGAAGAGGCTTCTGAGTGAGTAGATACCTCAAAGGCAATGGGGCCAGATAACATCTCTCCATGGGTCCTGAGAGATGGAGCAGAGGTGCTATGTATACCCCTAACAACAATATTTGTCAATGCATCTATCGAACAGGGAGATTGCCTGAAGCAGGGAAGAAAGCAAATGTAGTCCCAATCTTTAAAAAGGAGACAGACATGAAGCACTAAAACTACAGACCAGTGTCACTGACATGTATAGTATGCAAAGTCATGGAGAAGATTATCAGGAGAAGAGTGGTGGAACACCTAGAAAGGAATGATCTCATCAACAGCAGCCAACATGGTTTCAGGAATGGGAAATCCTGTGTCACAGACCTACTGGAGTTCTATGACATGGTGACAGCAGTAAAAAAGAGAGAGAGGGGTGGGTGGATTGCATTTTTTTTTTGGACTGCAAGAAGGCGTTTGACACAGTTCCACACAAGAGATTAATGCAAAAAACTGGAGGACCAAGCAGGGATAACAGGGAAGTCATTACAATGGATCAGGGAATACTTGTCAGGAAGACAGCAGCGAGTCATGGTACGTGGCAAGGTGTCAGAGTGGGCACCTGTGACCAGCGGGGTCCCACAGGGGTCAGTCCTAGGACCAGTGTTGTTTCTGGTATTTGTGAACGACATGACGGAAGGAATAGATTCCTAAGTGTCCCTGTTTGCAGATGACGTGAAGTTGATGAGAAGAATTCATTCGATCGAAGACCAGGCAGAACTACAAAGGGATCTGGACAGGCTGCAGACTTGGTCAGAAATTGGCTCCTAGAGTTCAACCCCACCAAGTGCAAAGTCATGAAGATTGGGGAAGGGCAAAGAAGACCGCAGGACGGAGTACAGTCTAGGAGGCCAGAGACTACAAACTTGCTCAAGGAAAAGATCTTGGGGTGAGTATAACACCAGGCACATCTCCTGAAGCGCACATCAACCAAATAATTGCTGCAGCATATGGGCGCCTAGCAAACCTCTAGAACAGCATTCCGACATCTTAATAGGAATCGTTCAGGACCTGTACACCGTGTACGTTAGGCCCATGTTGGAGTATGCGGCACCAGTTTGGAACCCACACCTAGCCACCTAGTCCAGAGCTAAGAGGTATGTCTACAAGGAGAGGTTAAGGGAAATCAACCTGACGACACTGGAGGACAGGAGAGATAGGGGGGACATGATAACGACTACAAAATACTGAGAGGAATTGACAAGGTGGACAAAAACAGGATACCAATATAACCCGCACATAAAAGAAAGAGCTACGACGACGTTTCGGTCCGACTTGGACCATTGACAAAGTGTGACTTTGTCAATGGTCCAAAATCTGACCGAAATGTCGTTCGTAAGCTTCTCTCTTTTATGTGCGGGTTATTTGTGTATCGTTCCAGTCACGGTATTGTGCCTTTTTTTATTTAGTTAAAAACAGGATGTTCCAGAGATGGGACACAGTAACAAGGGAACACAGTTGGAAGTTGAAGACACAGATGAATCACAGGGATGTTAGGAAGTATTTCTTCAGCCACAAGAGTAGTCAGGAAGTGGAATAGTTTGGGAAGCGATGTAGTGGAGGCAGAATCCATACATAGCTTTAAGCAGAGGTATGATAGAGTTTACAGTTTAGGGAGAGTGACCTAGCGCGACCAGTGAAGAGGCGGGGCCAGGAGCTTGGACTCGACCCTGCAACCTCAACTAGGTGAGTACACACACACACACGGAAGCAGAAGAGAAGTTCGTTATCCGGAGCACCAGAAACAATGAGAAGACCAGAGTGAGACCATAGTTTACCAAGTGTGGAGAGGCTAGAGCCAAGTATGCTAGAGCATGGAAAAATTATAGAAGACAAAGGGACTCCAGAAAACAAGGAGCTGAGCCAACAAGCCAGAAACGAATATGCATTGATGAGGAGGAAGGCCCCGCACCAATATGAGACTGACATAATATCAAAGACAATCTGAAGGAAAGAGGGGACTCACAGGGAGCGACCAGGAAATAAGTGAAGAGCTCAGTACGAAATTTAGGGTGGAATTCTTAAAGGAGATAGAAAGGCTTCCAGCAAAACTGAGGCAGTAGAGTGCACCAGTAAGTGCTGGACACAATACACACAACAGGGAGAAGAAACTGCCATGCTGAGTTAGATACCTCGAAGGCAGTGGGCCCAGATAATATCTCTCTACTTTTTCTGAGAGGGGGAGCACAGACGCTGTATGTGCCACTAACAGTCTTCAGCAAATCTATGGAAACCAGGCAATTGCGGGGGTGTGGAAAGTAGTAAATGTAGTCTCAATTAAGAAATGAGACAGACAGGCAGCATTAAACTACAGACCAGTGTCACTGATGTGAATAGTATGAAAAGATATGGAGAAAATTATCAGAAGAGTGGAGTACCTAGAAAGGAATACACTCACACATGACAACCAGCAGGGTTGGTTAGATGGAATATCTCTGTCACCAACTTTACCAGAGCTCTACAACAAGGTAACATAAGTAAGACAGGAAAGGGATGGGTAGACTGCATTTTTTGGTTTGTAAGAAGGCTCTTGACACAGTAGCACACCTGG